CTGAACTCTAGGTCTGGTAAATGAGATCCTGTCTAGCACATGCCATCTGTTGGGCTTAACATAAGCTTGAGACAGAACTTTTGGCATCGTGGTTTCATTTTTCCAGTTCCCACATTGGGCAGGGACTAGTAGGCATCCATTATTTGCCGACCGTCGAGTGTAACGACCTGCAGAAAGCAGTGAGGACGACAAACTGGAAAAGATAGGCAGGGTCTCAAGCCGAGAACTGTCCAAAGGTTGTTACTTTCCAATACTTTTATGATTTCATCATTCACATAACCTAAACTCTACTAGCCTAAACAAGTTCATTTTATTTTAGTCAGATTTATTAAATAAATCTTTGATGTTTAAACAGAGTTGAGTAAATTGTGTACTTAGGTTCAAGTGTCTTTGTGCATATTAGTTTACTTCAGCTAACAAACATTTAAATCACTTGATGGGGGCTTTTAAGCAATGCCAGGAGAGGAGTCCAGTCGCAGGGGTTAACTGAGCACCTGGATTATATCACAGTGGGTTTATCCAGATATCTATCTATCCCTTCTCCTACTCCTGTGGATACAAGTACAGCAACTTTCATTTCATGGAACGAGCCACTCGCTGTTTTCTTGGCTATCCAGGACTGTCTAGGATAAACATAGCTTAGATAATAGTCCAGTTTCTCACGTGGGTGGGCATTGTTAAGGTTCAAACCCACACCCTCACTATATCAGTGTATTTACCCACGTGGGCGCGCGACACCTACATTGGTTTGACATTTTCTGTCATATACACCTGATGGTTGGGTGTATGTCTCCCACATTGGTTTCACTACATTTTCTGTCATATACAACTGATGGTTGGGTGTATGAATGGGTCTCCCACATTGGTTTGACTACTTTTGTTCATAACTGAGGGCTGTCCTAATATAACTGATAACGGTTGAACGGCGTTTCTGGGGTTTGATCCTGTTTATCTTTCTTTTTCTTGTCTTCCACCTGTTTCTTTCTTTTTCTTCTCTTCCACCTGTTTATCTTTCTTTTTCTTCTCTTCCACCTGTTTATCCTTTTTTTCTTCTCTTCCACCTGTTTATCCTTTTTCTTCTTCTCTTCCACTTTCCTTTTCTTCTCTTCCACCTGTTTATCTTTCTTTTTCTTCTTCTCTTCCACCTGTTTATCTTTCTTTTTCTTCTTCTCTTCCACCTGTTTATTTTTCTTTTTCTTCTCTTCCACCTGTTTTTCTTTGTTTTCTTCTCTTCCACCTGTTTATCTTTTTCTTTTTCTCTTCCACCTGTTTATCTTTTTCTTCTTCTCTTCCACCTGTTTTTCTTCTTCTCTTCCAACATAAACCTCAGCGAGGTGTTGGGGGAAATAAAAAAGACCGTTAATGCGCTTTTTCCAGTGCATTTTACACAAGTTTGTGTTCATTTATTTTAGGTTGCTCCTGATGGTGTCACTGCATCTCTTTCGTGGTCTTCCGCTTGCTCTTGTGTTTATTATATTTCTTCACTGTGGCTTTCTGTAGCATTGGTACCCAGGACATTCTCGTCAGGTGGCCAAACCATCCCAGCCACATATATTCAACGATCCTACTGTATATAGGTCTTGTTTATTAAACTTCGTTCGCACTCTCACATCGCCTACATTTTTCTTGGGCATCGCCGTGTATGTAGTTAAATCTTTCACCGGTTTGCCAGAGCTGTCCTAGATTCATGTTTAACTGAACACTTCTCCTCAAAAAGTATTCACATTCTGCGGAATGTAATCCTGGAAAGGAACGGCAACCACCACTTATTTCTGCCATTGCTGTTTGACCTAGATAGGCAGACGTGACTATTAAAAACGCGTACATTAACACACGAACATTGAGGGGTCATGGCGAACCAATCGATCGTGCACGGGGGCAGAGTTAATGCTGAGCAGATGTGAGCAGGATAAGATACCCCCCCCCCCCCCACTTTCTCATCCTGTATAGCCATGTCTTCTTTTGTATCTTTAGCTCTCTATCTCTCTGTCTGGGACTAGCTCTCTCTCTCTCTCTCTCTCTCTCTCTCTCTCGGGCTAGCTCGCTCTCTCTCTCGCTCTCTCTCTCTCTCTCGCTCTCTCTCTCTCTCTCTCTCTCTCTCTCTCTCTCTCTCTCTCTCTCTCTCTCTCTCGGGCTAGCTCGCTCTGGGACTCTCTCTGGGACTAGCTCTCTCTGGGACTAGCTCTCTCTGGGACTAGCTCTCTCTCTCTGGGACTAGCTCTCTCTCTCTGGGACTAGCTCTCTCTCTCTGGGACTAGCTCTCTCTCTCTGGGACTAGCTCTCTCTCTCTCTGGGACTAGCTCTCTCTCTCTCTGGGACTAGCTCTCTCTCTCTGGGACTAGCTCTCTCTCTGGGACTAGCTCTCTCTCTCTGGGACTAGCTCTCTCTCTCTGGGACTAGCTCTCTCTCTCTCTGGGACTAGCTCTCTCTCTCTGGGACTAGCTCTCTCTCTCTCTGGGACTAGCTCTCTCTCTCTCTGGGACTAGCTCTCTCTCTCTGGGACTAGCTCTCTCTCTCTCTGGGACTAGCTCTCTCTCTCTCTGGGACTAGCTCTCTCTCTCTCTGGGACTAGCTCTCTCTCTCTCTGGGACTAGCTCTCTCTCTCTCTGGGACTAGCTCTCTCTCTCTCTGGGACTAGCTCTCTCTCTCTCTGGGACTAGCTCTCTCTCTCTCTCTCTGGGACTAGCTCTCTCTCTCTCTCTCTGGGACTAGCTCTCTCTCTCTCTCTCTGGGACTAGCTCTCTCTCTCTCTGGGACTAGCTCTCTCTCTCTGGGACTAGCTCTCTCTCTGGGACTTGCCCCTCGTCCAATTTCCTGTCGATATCCGAGCTTCTACTGGCTAGTTAACCCCCCCCCCCCCTCCCCTATAACTCCAGTGATCGCGTCCTGGATGGCAGACACACAGGCGAACCCTATATATGTTGTTCAACCAACAGCAATGTTATTTGCGACACAAACAACCACACCAACCTGTTGTAGCCTAGACTTGGGAGCACGAAAGGACTTTAAGTGATATTCTGGGGGTGGGAGCGGGGTGGGTGGGTGGGTGCTGGATCTCATGTGTCAATACCAGTGCTCACAAGTTCTGTCGCCATAATCCTGGGGGGGGGGGGGGGGGGGGTGAGCTGGATCTCGTGTCAGTACCCGTACTCCAAATTGTCTGTCGCCATAGACCTGGGGGGGGGGGGGAGGGGGTGCTGGATCTCGTGTCAGTGCCCGTACTTAAAGTTGTCTGTCGCCATAGACCTGGGGGGGGGGAGAGGGGGTGCTGGATCTCGTGTCAGTGCCCGTACTTAAAGTTGTCTGTCGCCATAGTCCTTGGGGGGGGGGGGGTGCTGGATCTCGTGTCAGTACCCGTACTCCAAGTTGTCTGTCGCCATAGTCCTTGGGGGGGGGGGGGGGTGCTGGATCTCGTCAGTACCCGTACTCCAAGTTGTCTGTCACCATAGTCCGTGGGGGGAGGGGGATGTTATGCATACCGTTATAGGTTTAGACATAATCTTTCAGTAGGGTTTTTCTAAATGTCTTGTCTTTCGTAAGCGAACCGTCATCATTGCCAAGTTTATGTAACAACTGCCAAAAGGCATATGTAACAACTGCCAAAAGGCATTTGTAAACACGCGGAGAATAGTTTTGTGTAAATGTAGGTCAAGAACAGCAACCGTCCTTTCTGCACCGACCCAGGCACGCACGTCCCAGGCCTGCCTCTATGGTAACATTGAAATATGCAGGGCTGATTTTTACTTCTGAATGGCCCCGGTCAGATAAGGGAGATAATACAGATATCCCGGCTGCTGACGTGCGTGTCTCCGAGATAAGTTGAGGTGAGGTGCGGGTCTCGTCGGGACCCTGTATGCTCATTATCAGACATGAGACAATGTCGTCAGGCTACTTGCAGTTGTGCCACCTCTATTTCCTGGCTCTACTTCAATGTCTGTAATCTGTTTTCACTGTTTGTTGTAACTTTTACATTCGTAACCGTTTTATGTTGCCGCGGTATAACTGCTGTATGGCTTTACGGGTGAAGTTTCCATGATTTGTAGCTTTTTGCTTCTTAGCCTTGTGATGTTAAATCCACATAATGCAAATCTGGAGGTGACTCGGTCACTAATTTCTCATTTAGATTGCCACCCCACCCCCCACCCCTTTTTTTTAACCTTGTATTTCTTATGCCGTGGCTGCTTATTCTTATCCTCATTCTTCTTATTCTCCTTATTCTTCTCATCCTCATTCTTATTCTCATTCTTCTCATCCTCATTCTTATTCTCATTCTTGTCATCCTCATTCTTATCCTCAACCTCATTCTTCTCATCATCCTCCTTCCCCTCCTTCTTTCTATCCATCGTCTCCTCCTTATCCTCCTTATCCATCTCTTCCTTCTCATCCTTTTTATCCTCCTCCTTATCCTTCCCTTCCTCCTTATCCTTCCCCTCCTTCTTATCCTTCCCCTCCTTCTTTCTCCTTATTCTCCTCCTCTTCCCCCTCCTTGTTCCTCTCACCCTTCCTCTCCTCTTTCACTCCATCCTTTTCTTTCATCTGCTGTTGGGGCATAGACCCTCAGTCCACTTTCATCTGCTGTTGGGGCATAGACCCTCAGTCCACTTTCATCTTCTGTTGGGGCACAGACCCTCAGTCCACTTTCTTCTGCTGTTGGGGCACAGACCCTCAGTCCACTTTCATCTGCTGTTGGGGCATAGACCCTCAGTCCACTTTCATCTGCTGTTGGGGCATAGACCCTCAGTCCACTTTCATCTGCTGTTGGGGCACAGACCCTCAGTCCACTTTCGTCTGCTGTTGGGGCACAGACCCTCAGTCCACTTTCATCTGCTGTTGGGGCACAGACCCTCAGTCAACATTAAGAAAAGATTGAAGGAGGAAGAGGATGATGATACAGTTCAGACGTACATAATGACATGATTTTTGTTTTTTTTCCCCCCCCAGATACATCAATGATGTAAATCAAGGGCTCCTTTTGTTGTAAAGGTGAAAATAGAACTACAATGACTGTGTCTTATGATGGAGAAAAAGGAGAAGAGAGGAAGAAGTGCCTTGAGGATGAGGATGAAGAAGCAGATGTTCCTGTACCCAGACATCCTACCCCGCCAGACGGGGGCTGGGGGTGGTGGGTGGTCCTATCGTCCTTTTTGTGTAACATGATTGTTGATGGAGTCTGTATTTCATTTGGTGTGGTGACAGTTGAGTATCAAAAGGTATTCAACTCCTCTCATGCCATGGTGGGATGGGTGGGTTCTTCACTGGCAGGATGTTATCTGCTTGTGGGTAAGTACTGTACGTGTTTGTATTTTTGTCTTTACACTTTTTTAGTCCCAGGGGGTTTAGCATCACAGGCCCAGGGGGTAGGTAGTAAAGAGTCATAAAATCGGCGCATCATGCGTTCATTGGGCTTCTAGGTAGGAACCTATGAATGTATGATGCATTCCTTGGAACTCGAGAGTTAATCTTGTCTGTGGGAACCAGTAGAAAAACTTCCCTGTGCCGCGAATGTGGGAAGATGTTTTATAAATCATGTTTTATAAATCGTTTTATAAATTACATTTATAAACATGATTATTTATAAAAATCAGGGAAATTAAATTATGAACAAGAATTATCAGAAACTCAATCATATTTATAACATGATTGAGTTATGAATGCATCCCACAGCTTCCATATCCCTTGGCAGTTAGTTCAAGGCAGAATGAAACAACTTATGTAGTAATTCTACGCATGTGTGGCCAACCTGTCGTACCCGACAACTTACATGACGGACTGCATTTCTGGTGGCGAGACTGTTTGCTTTTGGCGCCTCTGGCAGCTGAAATGTGCTTGGCGCCTCTGGCAGCTGAAATGTGCATATTTCTGGATTGTTCCGGAACTGTTTGTTCACCAGTTTTTCAAACGTGACAGTGAGGGACATTTCATTGGATTTGTGCTGGCACAGGAACAGAGCAAATGCAGTGACGTTGAAACCTGGACAAAGACTAAGTTAGAGGCAGGCCAAAAAAGACCTGCACTCATGCTAAATTTTCTCCAAACTGGTTTGGAGACTCCATTGTGGGGAAATTAGAATAGACCCATTGCCTCAACAAGCATGCAATAAGTCACCTAGATCTTTCTTTTGAAGTCGGGGTACATCTGCCTGAGAGGCAAGGAACCAAGTCTGTATACAGATGAACAAGATCTGTGAAACAGATGTGAACGCAGCATTCACCTTTTGGAACAAGAGGAAAGAAAACGTCCGTTAGAATGATGTGCAGGGAGAAACTGATACACATATCAAAGTATGGACATAGTGACAGCGAACAGATCATCTTGTTGAAATATTCTTGCCCTTGTGCATTCTGAAGATTCTGGGGCCCCATTTGGGGAAGTGGGGAAGAATAAACCCACTGCCCCCTTAGCGTCGTACGAGGTGACTGAAGTTTGCTGATATCTCAGTGTTGGCCTGTAGGGTGCTGATATCACACAGCCTGGCTTTTAACAACACATGCCAACCGCCTTTTTACGACAGAACACAAAAAAAAAATATTCTTAGTATCATGTTTTCTATTCACTCATTTCAGGCCCCTTTGTGAGTGCCCTGTGTGCCCGCTACGGGTGCCGTAAAGTTACCATGATGGGCAGCGTCATCACCATGCTGGGCTTTGCGCTCAGCACCCAGTCCAAGAGTATTGAGGTGTTGATTATCACTTATGGCATTATTGGAGGTAAGTCAAGTCATTCATCAGACTAACTAAATCTGTAAATTATTGCAGGTGGTACCAGCCATAAATTAGATCTATAGGTAATTTGCAGGTAATCTCCGCAGTTGTCTGGATTTGTAGGACCCCTAATTCTGTAGGGAATTTAGGGTCATAAAATAAGTTTAAATTCCTGTATTCTGAACAGAAACCTGAACAATGAACAGGCAGTGAGTTTGAGTCTCTAGAGATGTGGATACACAGAATAGGTCCTATTTCATGAACAAAATGGTGAAATAGAGGTTCTCAAGAGATTGAGAAAGGAAATTGCTGAATTTTTAAAATAGTAGCATGATTGGAGACTTTCATTTGCACATGCTCTTTCAGTGACTCAATGACTGCTCAGAAAAATAGAGCTGGGTCCAAAAACAGTGGTTAGAGGCTGATGAAGTTGTTGATAAAGATCAATTTCCTTTGCAGGCGTGCAAGGAAATAGGCAAGTTGATAGGATTGCAGGTAAGGCTACTTACTGTAGAGGGCTAATTAACCATGGACCAGACTGATACACTGAATGTTCAAGAAGTTTGCAAGAACCAAGTGATGACTGAATCTGCAACCACAATGCTACAAAAAGAGCAAGTTAAAAGGGATGTGGCCAAACAAGAGCACTATGCAGGAGGCCAAAGAAACCAACACAGACCTGGCGTCTGCGGCTACATGCTAGGGAATTACTGAGAGGATTCAGGCACTTGTGAATTAAGTGGTTCGATGTGCAATTAGGAGAATCTGTCGCCTAACTTAACTAGAATCATTAGTAAATAGATGTGTACATAATTGACAAAAGAATCACAAATCATATGGCAGTTATATATGGGGGAATGTCAGTAGTAACTAGATCTGTAGATAATGCTAGTGATCTGTCGTTTTAACCAGATTTGTAGTTGGAAAGTAATAGTTGTGAAACAAATTAATTTCCGGAGTCATACATTTAGCATGCAGACCATCTTACATTAACCCTTCCACATTGTTTTCACATGGCAATTATCTATACATGGAAATTACATGTGATCTGTGTAAAGCATGTTATGTAATTGGACGTAGAGTGACCTGTCATATGTTTGCTAGATCATTAAATAATTGGAGGTAAAAGCAGTGATAGGTTATCTGTAGACAATTGTATGAATATCAGTTCCGTAAATAGAACAAAGGTTCTCTGGCATAAATATACATATAAATTGCCTAAAATTGATATTACTGATGACGACATTATGTAAGCAGATTGTTTTTGCCCTTACATGTTTTTAAAAAAGTTACTCTAAATTGTAAAGACAGTATTGCTATATATATATATTCAAACACACATAAGTTTTTATACTTGAAGGTTTCATTTTCAGGTATTGGATTTGGTATGATATATCTCCCATCGATCGTCTGTGTTGGTCATTGGTTTGACAAAAAACGAGCTTTCACAACTGGCATTGTTGTCTCTGGCACCGGCATGGGCCAGTTTGTCTTCCCCCCCATCGCCAGTTATCTCCTGACAGAGTACGGGTGGGAGGGCAAGAATCTGATCATGGCAGGGATTGTGCTTCACTGTGCTGTCTGCGGCATGACCTTTCTACCGTTGGATCGGAGTTTCTTCAAACGCAACAAACGCTTCAAAAACAGGGTGGAGATTGAACGAGGAGCCATCATGAAAGCTCTTATCGAGGACAAGAAAAGACAAAGAACTATTTCGAATGGCTCATTAGATAACTGTGTAATCACCAGAGACAACCGTCTGATTCGCTTGGATCCACGACTGCTGGAGTGTAAGAGAAACAACTCATTCATTGCCCGATTCAAACGGCAGCTTGGGTTCAGCTCCCAGAGCTTAGCTTGCTCAAAAAATAGCCTTCAGGGATTGCCTAGTATTGTGATTGATGCCGTACAGCAGGATTTCATTAAAGCATCGGGATCGCCGATCTACAGACCCAAAGGGGGGAAACTCCATGAGAGCCATTCTCATTCACAACTGCTGCAAAAGTCAAGCCCTGTAGTGAGCAGCGATAGTTCTCTTCTGTCGAATGGGGTGACGAAGACAAGTATTCCCGATGTTGTGGTTAAAGATGATACCACGTGGTTGAAGTCGCTGGATGAAGGCATCACTTTTACCGTCACGGGGATCAGTGGCATGCCTTCGGTGACGAGATCTACCAGTGACCTTGAGACTTCATCCATTCCATCGCCACTGGTGCAGGGAAGTGTCATCAGTATTCAAGTGATTGAGAATAACAACACTCCAGATGCCCTCCGCAAAAGTGTCAGGTATGTGCTAACTAGGTTGTTGTCGCCTCATTCTCCCTTTCCCTCCGATGTCTTATATGCATATTGTTATGTGAAGGTAACTTGCTTTATTGATGATATACAGTTGCTTTGTTGAAGAGTATTTGGAAGGGCTCAATATAAGACGGGCCTGCGTGCCCAATTTGTGACCCTTTGAAGTGTTCATTCATTCTACTGGGAGCTATGATAGTGAAGTGTCTAGAATTTTGCTTGCCATGTTCTTGGGCTCAGAACTTAGAGCAGGATTTTTTATATTTGGCCTTGGCTCGGAGGTCATAAAAATACTCATAAAAATGCTGGGAAGTAAAGGTGACTGGTGGGATGTGGGTGTGTCATCCATGTACTCATGGGTCTATTGCAAAATATGGGTTCCCATGCCGTTTCCCCCCCCCCCCCCCATGAGGCCCTGGACCCACCCGAGGAATATTTTAAAAATCTCACCCCTTACTCGCTTTACGACCTCCACATACAAGTAAAAACTTTGGTTCATATTGTTATAAATATCAACAAAATTAAAGCGGTTCGTATTGTCATAACTAACACCAGCCAGAAATTTAAAGTCACTGTATCAGTCTGGTGTTGCAGCATGTTATCTCAGAGGTCCAAAGTTCAAATCAAGGTGGGTGAATGTTTTCTGCTGACAGATTGGCATGAAGGTGGACCCAACGCTGTAAGATATTTGGGAAGGTTGAACTGGCATTGCCCATGTTACTTACTTCTTCCTTTTATGTCAGTATTGACTTTTTGCCGCCAGGTGTCACAATATAATGCGGCTCTGTGGCTTAAAGCAGCGGTTCTCAAACTGGGTGCTGCGAGTGTATGCCAGGGGTGCCGCGAGTGTATTCCAGGGGTGCTGCGAGTGTATGCCAGGGGTGCCGCAGCAATTTTTCAAAATCTGCTTGAGATCAGCGAAGACAACAGCTTCAAAAATACTGTGATGGAAGTCAAGTTTTAATTGCAGGTGTACGTAAAAGACAGATATTGGCAAGGCTTCAGGGCATTCTCATTGTACACTTGCATAAAAAAAAAATTTCAAGGGCATACTTTCTGGGTCAAGAGATTTGAGGGTCAAGTTAACTTAACTTCCCAAACTTAACTTTTATCTAGTAAAAAGTTGAAAAAAAAAAAGTGAAGATCCCTTCTCCACGCCTTTAGACGTATAGAGCTAGACCTATTTTTTTATAGACCTGTCGGCACAAGATGGGTCATGTGATCAGCATCATGCCGGCTGCCTTTACTTTCCGGGACTGCACCCAGCACCCCTCTATTCTGGGTCGACCTGGGAGTCCAGGTCATTTTTGAAAAAAGTACGGCTCCACCATAGAGCAAGCCCATGACCTTCCGATCAGCACGAGCGTATGGCCGCTATTCCACGGCTACTCCCATTTTTATGTACCATCTTAAATGTAGTTATTAAGGCACCGCAGAAAAAAGATACAAAAAAGTCTGTGACCTACCATGCATGTAGTAAGAAACCACTAAGGAAGGTTGGCATGAGCCTGGCTGCTGTCTCATTCTGTATAAAACCTTAGCTGAAAAATTAAAGCGTTCCTAAACAAGCTGGCTAAGAACTTAGTGTAAGGGGTGAGGCTGTGGTCCATTAGCAGCAGATACTGGCCCACTTGTACTGATTTACATAGGAACAAACTTTCTCTTTCAGGTCCCAACCACATGTGACTTTAACTGACTGTGCCCTCAGAAGTTGTTACTTTAATCAGAATGTTAACACTGTTAGGCAGAAGCTGTTGAGTAGATATATTGTAATTGACTTGTGAAGAGTTAACTGACTGCCCTGCCCATACTGGGAGAAAATCTACATTCTGTGGTCATGTCATGGGGAGAAATCTGGAGTACCATGTGACGGTGGGAAAGTTGGAGGGGAAAAGAGAGAAAACGAGAATACCATGTGACGGTGGGAAAGTTGGAGGGGAAAAGAGAGAGGGAGACGAGAAGATGCTGGATATGTTGAGATTGACTTGGAAAATCATGTCAGAACTGATGGGAAAGTAAACACCACAGAAAGTTTTAGACATGACTACCAACGCTGCACACCATAGACTGGGGAATATGTAAGAATTGATTAAAAGTACATGACAGACAGACAGCGACCGTGGCTTAGGCGTACCGCGATTGAAACCCACTGCTGGCTAGGTGGATTTTTATCATGGTATGGGGCGTCGCAGGCCGTCTCAGCCTTAAATGGGTACCAAAATGCATGTCATGGGGAAGTAAAGACAATCAGCGTATTACTGACCACATTACCCAGCTAGTGTCTATTGGTCTGTAAAAATATGGTTCTTCCCATTTGCCCGATACGCCTAAAAGGCGTGAGAAGGGGTCCTAAATTTTTAAAAATTTACTTTTTTTTTTTTTACATGAGACAGAAGGTTGTGGATAGTCGTAACTACCAGTACCTCATGAAATGAATTATGAGGTGTAGTATAATAAGTATGGGCCACAAGAAGTTGGGAAAAGTATGTCTGTAGAAATAAAGTATAGAATGTCTAACTATAACACCCATTGTAAATGTCTTAGTACTGAGCGAGTTAATCAGTTTTCTGTAGACACTCTCTGTGGGTTACAAGGTATGCTTCAGGCACTGATTTATGTTCTCTGATAGTGACAAATCTAGGTTTTACCCAGATTTCCAGAGCATTTCAAGTCATCTGTTTCTCGCCTCCAGGTACAGATCCGGTGTAACCATTTCCACTGGTTATTCCAGCCAGGTGTCTGAAGACTCGTTTGCATCAGACAGTCAGCTGAGTGCCCCGCAGATCAACGCCAGTATTGACGAGGTGGAGTTTGAGATGGGTCGGCATCATTCCATCGCCTGGAAGTGCTGGCAGGTGCTGCTGGAGATGTTCGATATCAAGCTGTTGTTGAATCCAATGTTTGCTTTGTTGGTGATTTCTTCTTTCGTCACTTTGTTGGGTAAGTGAATGTTTCCTTAGGATTTTGATACCCAATTACTTGAACTGTTGTACAGGATTGGTTAGACACATGCTTGCCAATAGTCTAGGGTTCAGTTCTACATTTTGGTACATTTTAAAAAAATATACTTCGGCATCAGGTCAACTAACATTATTGCCAGAAATTGCCTAATGTTGCTGCCAGAAATTGCCTGGGAACTATAATTAACACTGATGTTGACATCACACCACAGTTCCAAGTTGTTCAGGTCTCGCACCACATCCCCGATGCACCTGTGATGTCCACTTCTGCATTCACCTTTAAAAGGGTAGCTGACACATTGTGTTATGGTTGACAACTCAGACTGGTTCTAAGGCCCAGTGAATCCATTTCCATTGGTTGGCAGCTTTTGTGACATGCTTGTTGGTTGGGGTGGAGGAGGGGGGGGGGGGGAGTGGTTGTGGGTCTGTTCTTTCCCCCTCTAAGATTGGTTCCTAGAACCCACATGGGGGAACCACTGGAAAGGGTTCTTTACTGTACTATGTTTTATTTTGTTGAGTCTCAAGTCTAAAGGACATGGTAGTACACAGTAGCTTGCCTAGATGCAGGCTTTCACATAGGTTTGCTTGCTTTCTGAGTTGGTGCTCATTTCTGTTAAGAGTTCTTCAGTGTTGCTCTCTGTTGCAGTTGGTACCATAGCATTCTCCTAGATTTCTTCAGTGTTGCTCTCTGTTGCAGTTGGTACCATAGCATTCTCCTAGATTTCTTCAGTGTTGCTCTCTGTTGCAGTTGGTACCATAGCATTCTCCTAGATTTCTTCAGTGTTGCTCTGTGGCAGTTGGTACCATAGCATTCTCCTAGATTTCTTCAGTGTTGCTCTCTGTGGCAGTTGGTACCATAGCATTCTCCTAGATTTCTTCAGTGTTGCTCTCTGTGGCAGTTGGTACCATAGCATTCTCCTACACACCATAACCTTAAATTATACCCTCCTTCACCTAACTTCTTTATCATAAGACACCATTGATTCACCAGAAATATCACCCTATTCTAGTAAATACTCTAGACAAGAAATGATAGAATTGGCTTGGCCATGATATGAGAATGAATCCTGATATACGTGCCCAAACAGCTCTCACTTACACACCAGCAGGAAAGAGAAAGAAGGGGCGCCCAAAAACGTAGACGAACAAGGGAAAGTGAAATGATTGCGGCATCTCTGTCATGGAAAACTGCATTGAAGATTGCACAGGAAAGCATGGAGAGTACTGGCTGAAGCCTCATGTGCCACTGGGCATAAAGAGAATTGAATTGAATTCCAGCGAAAGGCAGTTAACGATATTTTGTTGTCCCCAGCTTTCTATATTCCCTTCTTCCACCTGCCAAACAAGGGTGTGATTGTGGGCATGTCCGAGCCGGCGGCGGCATTTCTGTTGTCTATCGTGGGCATCACCAACACCCTGGGCAGAGTGATCTGTGGCTGGCTGGCCGACAGGCCCTGGGTCAACACCCTGCACTTCAACAATGGGGCCCTTATCCTGGCAGGAGTGGTGATGCTGATGTGTCCACTGTGTGAAGGGGAAGCTGGACTGGCAATTGTTGCTGCTATCTTGGGGGTCTGTATGGGTAAGTGATTTGCCTGAAGATGTGAGCATCTTGAGATGAAGTTTTAATTAGCAGATAAACCTCTTCTGTCTCTCTCTCTCTCTCTCTCTCTCTGTCTCTCTCTCTCTCTCTCTCTGTCTCTCTCTCTCTCTCTCTCTGTCTCTCTCTCTTTGTCTCTGTGTGTGTCTGTCTCTGTGTCTGTCTGTCTGTCTGTGTGTCTGTCTGTGTCTGTCTGTCTGTGTCTGTCTGTCTGTGTCTGTCTGTCTGTCTGTCTGTGTCTGTCTGTCTCTCTCTGTCTGTCTGTCTGTCTGTCTGTCTGTCTCTCTCTGTCTGTCTGTCTGTGTCTGTCTGTCTGTGTCTGTGTGTCTGTCTCACTCTGTGTCTTGTCTGTGTGTCTGTCTCATATCCTCATCCACTTGTCTGTGTACACACAGTAATGAGCTACTAACAACAGTTTATGACATCCCAATTTGTTGTTAAAAGTCAAATCCTGCAGTCATGGCGTCTGCACCAGCCATGCTGCCCTAAATCAGGCGCATATTCTCCCCCCCCCCCCTTCCCATCATCAGGCTCAACCCCTCCTTGCTTACCTTTCCCATCATCAGGCTCAACCCCTCCTTGCTTACCCTTCCCATCATCAGGCTCAACCCCTCCTTGCTTACCCTTCCCATCATCAGGCTCAACCCCTCCTTGCTTATCCTTCCCATCATCAGGCTCAACCCCTCCTTGCTTACCCTTCCCATCATCAGGCTCAACCCCTCCTTGCTTACCCTGCAAAAGCCATAAACACAGGGGCAGTAATGGCTGTTTGTTTGTTTGAAACTCATTGAAAAGGATTGCGCTTAGAAGTTAGAGGGATATTTGTAAGTGATAATAGGGATCCATTTTAAATGGTGGATCACCAAAGGGGAAAGAGTAGTCTTGTGTGTGGAAATGTTATTGTTAAAACTGTAAATACCAACTGAACTGTTGCTGGTGTTCCCACAGCTGTGTTTGTGTCCCTGAGGTCTGTGTTGCTGGTGGATCTCTTGGGTCTGGAGATGTTAACAAAGTCCTTTGGGCTGCTGATTCTGTTCCAAGGCATTGCTGCCTTCATTGGTGCCCCTATTGCAGGTAGGTGGTTTAAGGCATTGTTAGTGTGCTGGGGAATTGATTAGGGGAATGAGATTGTGTGTAGAGAATATGCTGGCCTGGTATGCTTGGGGAGGGTGTGCGAGGTTGGCAGTAGTGTGTGGTGGAGGTTGCTGATGCGGAATTGGGGAGATTGTGTGAAGTGTATCGAGAATATTTGTGGTAGAAGGGAGTAGTGTGTGTGTGGCGAGGATGATTTCTTGTGAAGTCGATGGTGCGTGTTAAAGACGTTAGTGGAGGAGGGTAAAATATGTTTAGGTTATGGTATGTGTGGAGGGGTATAGTTTGGTGTGATGGTATGTGTGGAGGGGTATAGTTTGCTGTGATGTTGTGTGGAGGGGTATAGTTTGTGATGGTATGTGTGGAAGGGTATAGTTTGGTGTGTTATGTGGGTAGATAAATTTATAGTGATGGTTGTGGGTACAGGGATAATTTATGGTTATATTGTGTGGGGGGGGGGGGGATAATTTGCAATAGGGTTTATTGTGTGAAATTGGAGATAATTTATAGCAGTAGTGTGTCTGGAAAGTAATAATTTAATTAGAAAAGCTTTTTCATTCTTATGCATTTGCTCTTAAAAGGGCAGTGTTCGCATTGTTTTGGGGTTTACAGCTATTTTGACTTATCTGTACCTAACACATCCAGTCAATTAGGGCATGCGTATGAGGCAAATCCCTTTATTGGCCCACTTCCCCAAATAAATTGGGCTCAAAAAGTTAATCTCAGGGTGTGTGCCAAGTTAGTAATCTCAGGGTGTGTGCCAAGTTAATCTCAGGGTGCCTACCAAGTTAGTTAGCGCAGGGTGCCTACCAAGTTAGTTACCGCAGGGTGCCTACCAAGTTAGTTACCGCAGGGTGCCTACCGTTAGTTACCGCAGGGTGCCTACCAAGTTAGTTACCGCAGGGTGCCTACCAAGTTAGTTACCGCAGGGTGCCTACCAAGTTAGTTAGTTACCGCAGGGTGCCTACCAAGTTAGTTAGTTACCGCAGGGTGCCTACCAAGTTAGTTAGTTACCGCAGGGTGCCTACCAAGTTAGTTAGTTACCGCAGGGTGCCTACCAAGTTAGTTAGTTACCGCAGGGTGCCTACCAAGTTAGTTACCGCAGGGTGCCTACCAAGTTAGTTAGTTACTGCAGGGTGCCTACCAAGTTAGTTAGTTACCGCAGGGTGCCTACCAAGTTAGTTAGTTACCGCAGGGTGCCTACCAAGTTAGTTAGTTACCGCAGGGTGCCTACCAAGTTAGTTAGTTACCGCAGGGTGCCTACCAAGTTAGTTAGTTACCGCAGGGTGCCTACCAAGTTAATCTCATTGTGTGTATAACATTGTATCAACTCATGGTGTTCACGGTCTGATGTTGCAGGAGAGTTGATCGACACCACGGGAGACATCAATGACTGCTTCTACCTGGCAGGGGGCCTGACGATCCTCTCAGGCTTGATCATGTTGCCTATTAGCTGCCTGAAGAAAGCGGATTCAGGCAAATCTATCCCAGCTATGCCTAGAGACACACCCATCAATGAGATTCTGAGACTGGAGAACATTGGATAGAATCTGGAGACCGGAGCAGCTAAGTGCATTGTTTGGTAATTGACCAGGCTGTCATGTTTGTCTGCAGGTAGATTCTGAACCAGAGAGAACTTATAATTACCCAGTATTGAACTTGAGGTGGAGACTTCAGAAAAGACTCCCAGATTTAAGGTCTTCGGATGAGTTCCAGTTTCTGATGATTTCCAAAATGTGTATTGAGTTAAATACAATTTAACTTTTTCGCTACCAGTCAGGTAAATTTGTTAATCAATACATGATGCTTTCACTGGTATCGAAAGAGTTAAAAGTAATAGACTTAGCAGTGTGGGGCTTTAAATATGAGATTCTAAAACAGGAATGCCCTACACTTTAGTGGTTTCCGAAATGTTAAATTGTTGATAGTAAAAAGCTCAATCTGAGGCAGAGAAATTGCACTGAGAATATACAAGTTGTAACTATATATATTTTGTTTTTCAAGATGAAGAAATGGCTTTCACATTATTTGATCATTTCCTAAATGTTGTTCTTTAATTTTGAGCAGTGTAGTCAGTCAGGTACAGTTGTGTAAAGTCGGGTCTAAATTTTCACAGTAGCATGAAAAAATTGCAGTTTACCAAGTGTCCATTTGATTTCTAAAGGGTTTGTGGAAAGTTTAAACATCAAGCTAACTTCTTATTTCTTTGCAAAGTTAACAGCAAATGTTCTGCTTACATATAATAGAAATGTTTGTTTCTCAGCAAAATAGGCTATATGCCCTGTCAAGTGGCAGAATATAAATATTGTGGTCACCTTGCTAAGTTTAAGGATGTACTGTTTGTGAGTTTGAATATTCTGTCAAAGTAAGGATAAAGTTTGTCATTACCCAGTCAAATGGAATTATATACTTTGCCATTGCTGTGTGAAATGGAAGGATAGTTTGCCTTTACCCTGTCAAGTTGAAGGATTAAACAATTTGTCATTGCTTTGTGCAATGGAAGGATATAGTTTGTCATTACCCCAGAAAATGGAGGGTAGTTTGTCATTACCCCAGAAAATGGAGGGGTAAATTTTGTCATTACCCTAGAAAATGGAGGGGTAAAGTTTGTCATTACCCTAGAAAATGGAGGGGTAAAGTTTGTCATTACCCCAGAAAATGGAGGGGTAAAGTTTGTCATTACCCCAGAAAATGGAGGGGTAAAGTTTGTCATTACCTCAGAAAATGGAGGGGTAAAGTTTGTCATTACCCCAGAAAATGGAGGGGTAAATTTTGTCATTACCCCAGAAAATGGAGGGGGTAAATTGTCATTACCTCAGAAAATGGAGGGGTAAAGTTTGTCATTACCCCAGAAAATGGAGGGGTAAAGTTTGTCATTACCCCAGAAAATGGAGGGGTAAATTTTGTCATTACCCCAGAAAATGGAGGGGTAAATTGTCATTACCCCAGAAAATGGAGGGGTAAAGTTTGTCATTACCCTGTCAACTGAAAGATGCATATCCAGTCAGGTGGAAAAAAATTTAAGCTTGAATACTGTCAAATGAAAAGTTGCTTTTGAGAAATGCAATGCTGAATTAAAGGAAACATACATTAGTTTGTGAATACATTGTCAAATGAAAGGAAATATTCGTTTGTGAGTGCCTTGTTAAATGGAAAGAAATGTATATTCGTTTGTCAAATGAAAGATGTACATTCATTTGTGAATACCTTGTCAAGTGAAAGGGAATGTACATTCATTGGTGAATACCTTGTCAAATGAAAGGAAATGTAAATATTAGATTGTGAATACCTTGTCAAATGGAAAGAAATGTATATTCGTTTGTCAAATGAAAGGGAATGTACATTCGTTTGTGAATACCTTGTCAAGTGTAAGGGAATATACATTCGTTTGTGAATACCTTGTCAAATGAATGGAAATGTATACATTAGTTTGTGATACCCTTTCAAATGAAAGGAAATGTATACATTAGTTTGTGAATACCTTTTCAAATGAAAGGAAATGTATACATTAGTTTGAATACCTTGTCAAATTAAGGGAAATGTATACAATAGTTTGAATACCTTGTCAAATGAAAGGAAATGTATACATTAGTTTGTGAATACCTTTTCAAATGAAAGGAAATGAATACATTAGTTTGTGAATACCTTTTCAAATGAAAGGAAATGTATACATTAGTTTGAAAACCTTGTCAAATGAAATATGTACATTTGTTTGTGAGTGCCTTATCAAGTGAAAGGGAATGTACTTTAGTTTGTGAATACCTTGTCAAATGAAAGGGGATAGCGAATACTTTGTCCAAAGTGATTAAATGAGAGCAACAGGAAAGTTTATCTTGATTCTTGTGCTACGCGAGCAGAGATTTTCACTTTTTAAGAGATTAACCAAATGGCTAGTGACCTAGCTGTTTAGTGTTTTCGGGAATTCAGTGTTATTTTGATTATTGTGGCAATCAAGGCTAATTGTCATCTGACAGCATAGGTTATCCGTCTTAACAGGACAGGCTATTACTGTGAGCCATGGCAGGGCTATTCAGGTGGCGGCCCGTGGGCCAGATCTGGCCCTCCGGGATTTAGGAACTGGCCCGCAGGTCCTTGCCAGTTAATTGTAAATACTGTTTGGGCCTCTGGCTCGTGATAATTCAAATTTTCAAAATTGTTGCCCCTGGGTAAACTTAGTTGAATAGCAGCCCTGCTGTATGGCAAAGCCTATTTATGTGTGGTGATGACACAATCTTTTGATGGGACAGTTGTAACAAGATGAGATGGCACATGTGTCAGATATGGTAACGATAATGAACTGATATCAACAGATATATCTAGGGTGAGACAGTGATGAGATAAGGTGGGCAGGTTAATGTGATGAGGCAGTGATAAGGTGGGCAGGTTAATGTAATGAGGCAGTGATGAGATAAGGTGGGCAGGTTAATGTGATGAGGCAGTGATGAGATAAGGTGGGAAGGTTAATGTGATGAGGCAGTGATAAGGTGGGCAGGTTAATGTGATGAGGCAGTGATGAGATAAGGTGGGCAGGTTAATGTGATGAGGCAGTGATGAGATAAGGTGGGCAGGTTTGCCAGAGGGATAATGAGATGGTCAGATTTGTGTAAGGCAGTGATGAGATGGGCAGGTTTGTCAGTGAGGGATGAGATGGGCAGGTTTGTCAGTGAGGGATGAGATGGGCAGGTTTGTCAGTGAGGGATGAGATGGGCAGGTTTATCAGTGAGGGATGAGATGGGCAGGTTTGTCAGTGAGGGATGAGATGGGCAGGTTTATCAGTGAGGGATGAGATGGGCAGGTTTGTCAGTGAGGGATGAGATGGGCAGGTTTGTCAGTGAGGGATGAGATGGGCAGGTTTATCAGTGAGGGATGAGATGGGCAGGTTTGTCAGTGAGGGATGAGATGGGCAGGTTTGTGTGAGGCAAGTGAGCTAAGACTGGCAATGTCAGTGGTCAAACTAAGATGAGGTGGGCAGGTTATTTTTTAAAATAGTGACTAGGCAGTTATATTAGGTGGATAGGTCTGAAAGCAATGAGGCAGCAATAAATGTGGGCAGGTTTCAGTGACAATCTTAATAGAGATGGTCAGATGTGTTAGTAATGGGTCAGTAATAAAGATCGGCAGGTTTGTCGAGGCAGTGATAACAGATCGGCAGGTTTGTGACGAGGCAATGATAAAAGATGTTTGTGATGAGACAGGGATAAGATTGAAGTGTTTGTGAGTGATTATGCAATAAGAGGCGTAGGTTTGTGACGAAGCAATAAGATGGGGAGGTTTGTAAGTGACAAGGCAATGATAGTAAAATAAAATGGCCAGTGTATCAGCAACAGGGCGATAATAAATTGAGATGGGCATGTTTAGAGTGACGAGGCAAGGTTACAATGAACCTTACATAAACATAGGGCACTTATTTTTTTTTTTTAAATCATTTTTTTTCGTAAGCTATGTTTACATTTATCTGCATATTTTTGTTTAAAAAAGTTTTTTTATTGAAACATAAAAAAATATAAACAGAATGTAAATGGTTTTTCATTATGTATATTGTCTGGTATGTGCATACACATATTCATGCTTTATGCCACTTCACGAAAAATATATCATCAGCGTACTTTTTATCGCACATATTTCACTGAGGCTCTGTAACTATTAGTTCTTGTAATTATTGTGGACTTTTTTGTGTGTAAAATGTTCGGTGGAAAAAATTTGGTAGGACTCAGCTGGAGGAGACGAAGGAGGAGCAGGATAAGGGAAAAGAGAAATATGAAAAAGGTGTAGATGAAGGGGTAGTGTTTTCTTGAAAATAGTTTTACAATGAAGAACTGTCAGTGCAAACAGGCAGTAAATTCACCCATTATATATGTTATCTAGCATGTAAAATTCATAGCTTTGTTTAGTCTTATTCCACCAGTTTTGCAAAGTGCCGTAACACTTTCAATTCACATGGCTGCTAGTTTTTTTAAACTCATTTATAGTCTGCTCTGCTTTTGGCTTGACCCGGCAGTGAGTCACATTTCAGATTCAAGCTAGTAAGATACCCTGCTTCAATTTTAGCGCATCCTGCTTATTGAAAAAATCTCTAAAGAAAACAAAACAGGATCTTCCCTCATTTTGAGGAATTTATTAGAGCCTAAGGACACCTCAGATGTGGAGGGGTAATTTGCTACTAAACTCAATGAAGTCAACCAGAAATGTTGGCAACCTTTTTAGTTTAGCCGGTCACTATCAGCTTCAGTTGTTGGCAACCTTTTTAGCCAGGTCACTATCAGCTTCAGTTGTTGGCAACCTTTCAGCCAGGTCACTAAGGTCAGCCAGGGTTGTTGACAACCTTTGTCACGTCACTAAGGTCAGCCACACATGTTGACAGCTTTTCATGAAAGTTTTACAGGCAAGCAAGCAGGTTTATGTTGATTGTTGGCCATGTAATGTTGTTTCATGCCTTTAATCAGTGTGGCCAAAATGTATTTTTTTTTTTAAATTGGTGAATATGCATGTTGCTGTAACTTTCACATGCTAATCCATAAGTGTACCAGATAGTTATGCATCCTTAATC